CCTCAGCATTTGCCTAAGTGATCCAAGGAAACCACAGAAAAACTTGGACCAAGGCAGACGGACCCGGAATCGAACCGGCGTCCTCCCGAATGCTAAGCAATGGTCTAGACCTCTAGGCCATGCCGCTCGGTTAAAACTAGAACATCCCACATCCTTAACTATTTGCGAACAGTAATGTAATCTTGGTCTACTTCTACCCCTCCTAACTCTTGTTTCTGCCTCTAATATGTCTCTGCCTAGACCTTCATACATGAACCTATCTCGCCTATTTCTTATTGACTCTCATGGGCTCTTCCGTTCTCCTATTCTTTCTAATACCTCTTCATTTTTAACCTTCTTTATCCACGATATCGTGCACTGCCCTCCAACATATAAATTATAATAAAGCGCAAATTCTAATTTAGAAACATCTCCTACAATTTTACTAAAATCTTCTCTCATTTTTCAATTACCCAGTTTTGTTATTTTGTAGTGCTCAATCACTTCCTCCAAGCTCGGCACTTATTTATGACCCTGTATATATAGAAACATGAAATAAATAAAAAAATTAACAATTCTTGAATAAGTCGTTCCAGGATTTATGTCAATTACTATTTTAAAAGTTGTCGGGAATTTGTTAGTTATTGTAGTTAGCAATGACTTGTAGTTTTTCCAATAAAAAAATAAACTACCTGTGTAAAGTTGCATTATGTAACAATTACGGTGTATTACAATGTAATAGAGCAAATAGTTAGTCGAAATATAAATATTAATGAGACTGCGAGTCCTTTAAAAAATTTACGACCATTGTTTAAATACAAATGCGCGTCTAATTTGAACAATCATATGTATACTTCCATGTAAATGTCAATTCAATAATGCCTTTTTGTTTTTGATTGGATAATATCAGTATTATAGCATACTTCTGCGCATAAAAATACAACAGGCATTTTATATGCCTGTAACGAGGTAAAGGTAACTACATTTTCTAATGCGAAATGATGCAGACGTAGAAAACTTATAAACCTTTAGGATTTTATAA